GGAGGGACAACAACGATATCATCGATATCCACATAGGTGAATGAAACGAGTAGTCCGATCAGATAACAATAGTTAAAATTGAAGTCAACCATAGATCGATGTTGTAAGTTAGATCTGGATATTGTGCTCCGCTTGTTAGTGAGAAATGAAAAGCGACACATTTTGCATAGAGCCATACGACTGACTTTTAATATTCTCCAGCACCAATTAGGAAATGTTCACTTAAAGATAGCTTCGACATACTACTTCCTTGCTGAACCATTACCAAGCAGATCGGTTGTGTAGTTGAGCCATGCTGATCCATTACCGAGCAGATCGGTTGTGTAGCTTTGTTATCTGAAGGAAAAAAAACTCTTTAGAAAGCAAAATGGTTTGATTTTTTGAGCAGTAGCTACAAACTGTGGTTGTATGAATTGACTCAAAACTACTAGACTACCTTAACTTATTATTTACTGTCTACTCTTTTTAATCTCAGACTATGTTGCGAAATATAGCTTCAATGATGCTTAGATATTTGCAAAACTTTGGAACGAACGCGCTATTGTCCTTTCCGGGGAGTAACGCGTTCACCACCACACCATGCGGATCCTTCGTTTCACCTGTCTCTCAGCTAGTTCTATCGATCTCTGAGGTCAGCATCACCCATTAGCTGGATTGGTCTGAAAAACCCAAATCGGCAGTGAACCCATTTATGCTGACGCTATAGTTATAATCTTAACTCTTTTATTTACTGCCTTTTTCTTCTTAATGGCAGGGTATGTTTCGAATTATAACTCGTATGAAATGCTGAGATGTTTGCAAAACTCCGGACCACAGGTGTATGCAGTGGGAAACGAACACGCGCTGTTGTCCTTACCGGTAAGGACTCTCTAATCTAATGGCAGGGTATATTGCGAAATATAGCTTCAATGATGTTGAGATATTTGCAAAATGAGAATTTTTGAAAAAAAAAGAGAATGAAAACAAAATGAGAATACTTCTATTTGATCGAGTTCATAAACGTTGGCAAGGAAGAATAAGAAAGAGGGCAAGAACTGAAGAACAGAAGATCCATTCCAACTATAACCGATGAATGCCAGATAGTGAATGGCGGACGTGTTGATTCTCAGTGATCAACATCAATGGCTGACAACGAGTGCTTTCAGCTACGGTACATGCACAACAACTCCGTATTTTCTGTAGTTGTTGCCCCAACAATCCTGACGAGACTAACTGGACAAAATCTTGACTCGATTGATGTCAAATGTTTATGGGTTCGGTGTCGATTTAAGTTCTGTTATGGTAACTTCTTTTACATCACTCTCCGACTACGTTCTTACTAGGTCCACTGTGTCGTATTTATTTAACAGCGTACGGAATGTAATTTAATATAATGGCACTGGTCGATAGAACTAGCTGAGAGGCAGGCGAAACGAAAGGCCTGCATGGTGTGGTGGTGAAAACGTTAGCAACTGAAAGGGTAACAGCGCGTTCACTCTCCACAGCAGACACTTGCGGTTCGGAGTTTTGCAAATATCTCAGGACCATTATGGTTTAATTTAACATATTTCCAAGAAACTGATTCTTGCATGTACTTACACTATGCACCTTTTCCGATTATTTCCCCGCACATTTTTTCTGTGACACTTTTGCCCTCATTATTTAGGTCTCCTTTTGATGTAATAAACCAAAAGTGTTCGAGAAAAGGCTAATTATTCCATTCCAAGATGTAATAGCAGTAAAGATGTATGCAAGGCATCACTAAAACCATTGATTAGGTTGACACTGGGCACGTTTATCGGCTAGGAATTCACACTACGCACGTTCATCTATATTTCCACACATTCTGCTATTGCGAATATTGCAAGTTTCTAAATATTATCGTCTTCTGAAAAGACATATGAATACCAAGACCGAGAATGGAATAGAGAATGGGTCAAAACAGCAGATGCAGCCGGTGTGGAACCATCTGTCGGCAAATGATTTAGCAACTTCTTCTGTCCTTTACTTAAGTAATAAAACACATAGACCCATCTGTATCAATGATCGTATGTCTTCTAATTGTTCAACATTCAACTAAACCAATCATCAGGTGTGTAGGCGCACGCATAAATAGGACAACACCGTTGCTAAACCATATCCTCAAACAGTCTCTCAAGTTCTTACCATCCCATCTCCCTGCTTTCAAAATGTTCTCAGTCTATCTACATCGTTCGTATACAAAAGGCGAATATGTTATAGAGTAATGTGATGTTACCACACTCTACCCAAATGTCTCACATAACACGCAATACAAGGTATTCTCGAGATGCTTAAAGAATATGAAAAGAAAACAGATGGTTTGTCGTTTAAACAGACCATGACTTTGTTAGAAATATCCTAGGTGTTCAATTTCCAGTTGGCCCTAGAGATAACATGAGGAAATCGGAGCGTAGGCGATGGGACAGCGATTGGCATCAAGCATTGCCATCTCCGCTTGGTATAAGGTTAAAGCTTTAGTTCTCAACGTATAGATAAATGTTCAGTGATCTGCTCTAAACAAGAGAAGATGGGTAAATGTTTTGGATTCTTGAATAAACAGCCGGGATACATAAATTTCAGGCCAGGAAAAGCTAAGGAGCTGTGGCTTCGACTCTTAATCTTTCAAAAACACCTTTTCGAAAGTGACTACATCACAAAGCATTATCGAAAACCAAGTAGTGAAAATCTGCTAGCCTGTGTAATCTGTTAGTCCAAAAGTGAGTCCGAAAGACGAACGTCTCACCATCACACGTGACCTGGCGCCGTTTCTCAGATTAATTTTTTAAAATATAGTAGGTTGAATGTGGGTGGTGGGAGAGGATGGAGGGTGCGGCCCAGCGGTCGGGGGAGCCCTGCAATACATATGGGATCAATTTCTGCTCCCAGGGCCCACCAAGCGCCCATCCCACCGGGGTCGGCAAATTGGTGCCATACTTGTTTGGAAGGATAGCAGCACTTACTCGATACATCAGTAGGTCACTGCGAGCCATTGTGAACGCTAGATATGCATTCATCCACCACCAGCGATGCTTAGTAAAGTCGATTGCTTGATGCAACCCTCAGCGATTGGTCAACGCCAAGAGCTTTCTTCTGTTATAAGGATGACTGAATGAATATTTCATCCATGCAGTTTTGTTCCAGTTGACAAAACCTGGCGAGTGGAGGGCATGTCTTTTCCTCTGTCTTGGAGCAGAACCACTCACAGTATGTGCATTGCGCAACAGCCCTAGCCTCTGCGCTACTCACGCCCAGAAGTTCTTTAGAGAAAGAATTCTGCACAACACAATATGGTAGGCAACGAGGCGGCGACTGGCACCAGAGCATGCCGTCGTATTGTCATCTGAAGGAGAAGTTCTACTTCTTATTACCGGGATGTAAATCTGTAGATGATTGCTTTATCCTTTCTTTTCAACAAGAGCAAGTTTTAAATCATTAAAAGAATTTGAAAGTGTAAAGTAGGCTTCACGCTAAAGAAGCCGAAGAAGTACTTTTAAGACAGCATTGTTTTTAAAAACCGATTTCCTCCTATTCACTTAATTACTTGGATAACTGGAGGGCCCGTCTTCACTGGTTGTGTGGGCCCCTGTACAATTTTCATTATTTTGTTGTTTTGCTGGTTTAGACACTGTGGTTCCCTGGAGTGCAGACATCAGCCTCGCCAATGTCTGCACCAGGTCATCACCACCATAAGCAGTTCCCGCAGTTGTGGATCAGAGAAAAGTTTACCACAATGCAACTACTTTGATGCCAGGATGGTGGTGTAGCTGGAGTTCCTGATGGAAGCACCAGACTTCTCCTTAGCTTTGGAGACCTTGCCAGGGGATGAGTCCACCTGCTGTACATCTCAGCCCGAGACCCAGGAAGATCTCCGAGCCACGAAGAGGCGGTAAACCGCTGGGAGCTTCTATCCTAATTAAGCATGAATAATTTTTTCTCGTTTTGCTGACAGGATTACGGCACAAGTTCGATTATCGAAATGAGATTTTTGTGGTCTATTTTCGGATTCTTGGAGTTAAAATTAAAGTTATATTTCGGAATAAATACCCTGCAGTGTAGGCAGTGAATAATAAGTTAAAATCCGAAAATAAACTGTAGAGAGGAATGCCTCATAATCACCCGTGATACCGGGTAGTATTTAAACCTGTTATTCTGATGTGAGGGGTAAACTACGCTTCCATGTGAACTCTGTGCGGTTGGTGTTCTAGTGACATATTCAGTGGAAGACTCATAGAAAGTGGTGAGTGTGCAAAGAAGCTTTTCTGTGTTCAATGTGATTGGAATTTTGGTTGAGCATTTTCTCTGTTTGGTTATGGAGGTGTTTGGCTGTGTAGAGTGCAGTCAACTTGACTTTTCCAGACTCTGAGGAAAGCGAAATTCGCCGAAGCTTCAGCTTCTGCGTAAATAAAGAAATAAGATAACACCTCGTGTTTGCTAAACAAGAATATAAAGAATAGCGCAGTATGCATTTCGCTAACACAGCTCAATGAAAATACCTATGCATAAACCTGCTCCAATACAAAATCTGTTTCGACTAGATATCGGCCAGCTACCACAGATTCGACAAAATCTCCTGTGTAGCTAAAATAGGGCAGAAAGAAAAAGAAGCAAATTAAAGTCCAGTTCTACGTTCCAAAACATGCAGTAATCCAAATATTGAATTCAATGCGGCACGGTTGTGAAAGGGTTGAGAGACTTCGGGAGTTTTAGCTTTGACATCTTTAATCTTTATATTAACCATCCCTCATTCGTCTGAGTAGTTGTTTTTTTTCCACTAGTGTTTTCCACGATGGTGGTAAACAAGGTGTGTGTAAAACTGACGAAATCAAATTTTTATTCAACAACTCTATTCCCTCTGTTAATCATAAATTTTATAGAACAAAAAAGTAGGCACTTGGAGTAAAAGAACAAAAACTAGCTCGTTTTCCGCGTTCCAGAAAATGGAGGCACTCGTATTGCATGCTATTCATTTATGACCACCTCTCAAATTACTCTTATCTCTTTTAGTAGGAACAGAGACCAACAGCTCCATCGCAATTGTTTGAACCTGTTGGACAAGCGCTGCATACTGCACCAATAGGGTAGATGCTAGCTCCGACGACGTTCACTCTGAAGCAAGGCGAAACATCTGCAAAACGTTAAGGAAATGGAGGGTTTAGGCATAGAAAAACTTACGGATCTCGGTACATGCAAGAAGTGAAGTAAAATCCATTGCAAAGTTGAGTTGCACAACCTACATGCCTGTTACTACCCCAAAGAACCTGGAATAACTCTGTGCTATAAGGGCTTGCGGACGCCTACGATTATAGTCGCTGAAGAAATAGCACAAACCTTGCTAACCCTTGCCACCGCTCTTTGCGTGCGCTGAAGAACATCCGGCGTTAATAACATATTCGAAGGAATGCCATTTCCTCCGAGTTCATTGGTGAACGTTCCAATTGCCTGCAGTGGTAAGAATGAAACGTAAGGAATAAATGATATAAAATTGACAANAAATTGGTTAATGAAGGAATACGATGAAATGGTTGGTGTTGGTCAATCCCTTGGGGATCTTAGGGATACGTCCAGCATTCGATTCCAGTATGCGTCGTACAGTGGTCTGTCGAATTAAATCGAGGTCTTTGTAAATCCCGACAATTCTGATGAAATCCGCAAATACATAGTAGTAGGGAACCTAGTTTTCCCGGAACATTAGACTGAATAGACAACAATACCGTATATCGGAGTGCGGGTCTAACCACTGCAGTTCAATTTAAACATCCATCTATAGACAAGTACTCTACTTGTTTATAGATGGATCTTTAAATTTGCGTCCATTGCATACAACGTTATTTAGATCATTGGTGGACGATGGAAAGTGATCGAGAAACTTGGCGAAGGAGGAATGGGAGCAATTTACAAGGTCGCAGACAGAAATCGCAAGAATTTTTTTGCCGCAATGAAGGTCGGAATTCTTTGCCGTTATTTCGGATTCTGTGAAGGCGTTTCCAAACAAAAGTTTTTTTTCTAGGTAGAAAACGAGTTATCTGAAGGTGGTGTGCTAAAACTAGAAGTTCATCTACTTCAGAAACTGCAAAAGATGAAGGGCACAATGAAGTTGTACGACTCTGGAAACAGACGCAGATATTGGTGACTTAGTGATATCCCACTAATTATAGTTCTGTGAGTGAGTATTTGGCGTCGAAGGGTTGCCTAAATATTTTTTGGAACGATCTTGCCGACTGCAATTGGAAGTAGAGAAGAAATCCATTTTGTTTACATTACCCCCAACATTACATATTATGTACTTGTCATCGAGGTCCTACATCTTTCATCAAATTCGTTTCGTCGCAGACATCATCGAGATTTTGTGGATTTGCATTTGCATTGCACAATAAGGACGCGTGTAGCACAACATTGAGAGATACGCTGTGATATACACGTGCTCGTTGTCTTGATCCGGTACCACAGGTTACCAACTTTCCATCTTTCCGTGCTTGGCAAATCAGTGCTGCATTTGTCAGCGACAATGACATGATACATGATCGGTGGGCCATCGGGATTCATTCTAAAAACCAGATATGCACTGAATGACCTCTAACGATGGTTGATATACGCGCACACGTTGCGCACCCCTCAGGAATAGCAATACCGGAAGCTTTATCACCTATCATTTATTCTGCAGTGGAAGATATTTAAAATGTATGGTTATTAATTTCAAAGATGAAAAGAAAAGCAAAGATTTTACCAATTTAGCCATGTTCTTCGCCGACGGCAGCGGGTTTTGTGCTTGAAATGTTCCTTGAGCAACATTTGAGCGTATTCCATTCAGCATGTCGAGAGCTTCTGCTCTATTTTCGTCCCTTAGCGTCAATTCTTGACATCCGAAAGCTTGAACAAAACACTCGATAAAATTTTTCGACGTGTTGAACAATAAAAGAAATAATTGGAAACACTTACGAGCTTCGAAAGGACCACCGGACAAGACATGACGCAAACTACTGATTTCGCGCCTTTGCTCAGCTGTAGACGCAATGTGAAGTAAACTGTTTTTAGTGTGTTTAAAGTGCAGTCTTAAGGTCTGACGTAAACGGCTATTATGCGAAGTCTCCGAATTAGAATAACATCTAACTCTTTGTTCGCGTCCTCATAACCTCTGGGCTCTAAAGAAGTCGAAGTCGCCAAAAGCTCAGTCAATGAATAAAAGAAAAAAGTCAGGAGCACCAACAACAACAATAAAGACTGATGCCAACCTTGTGTAAGCTCATCAATGGTAGTTCTTAATAACAACACCGTTTTCACAGGTTCCAGAAGACGTTGGTTAAGAGACGATGATTTCATAACCACTGCAGTATGTGGCTACTTTGCTTATTCACAGTCGTCTACAAACTTTTTCATCGTTCACTATCTATTTACGCTTCTTAGGACACTCTTCCTGATAAAGATCCCAAACATTTTTGACCTAATAAGGGATGGATAAAAGTATTATGATAACTGTTTGTTATCCACATGATGTGAAATAAAAAATAAAATTAAACATCTCTCTGTGAACAATTAAATTATCAACTAAATTCTAAAATTGGCCCATTATTCGTGCTTGGGTTACTTTGCGGATTTTTGCTCATGGGAAGCGAATACGGGGTTAGATGTTATTCTAATTCGGAGACTTCGAATAATAGCCTTTTACGTCAGACCTCAAAACTGCACTTTAAACATACTAAAAACAGTTTACTTCACTTTGCGTCAGCAGCTGAGCAAAATAACTTGACTAATTGAAAAGTAGTGCGAAATTGGTAGTGTTTATAAGGCGCGAAATCAGTAGTTGAGCACTGCACACCTATGTTCCCAGCGCCACTGGTGGTTCTCTGTAGCACGGTTGGTGAACGGCTTGATTTATACGCTTTAGAACTCATCACATAGACCTGTTTTTGTAGCTTTTGCGTCATGTCTTGTCCGGTGGTCCTTTCGAAGCTCGTAAGTGTTTCCAATTATTTCTTTTATTGTTCAACACGTCGAAAAATTTTATCGAGTGTTTTGTTCAAGCTTTCGGATGTCAAGGATTGACGCTAAGGGACGAAAATAGAGCAGAAGCTCTCGACATGCTGAATGGAATACGCTCAAATGTTGCTCAAGGAACATTTCAAGCACAAAACCCGCTGCCGTCGGCGAAGAACATGGCTAAATTGGTAAAATCTTTGCTTTTCTTTTCATCTTTGAAATTAATAACCATACATTTTAAATATATTCTACTGCAGAATAAGTGATAGGTGATAAAGCTTCCGGTATTGCTATTCCTGAGGAGTGCGCAACGTGTGAGTGTATCGTTAGAGGTCATTCAGTGCATATCTGGCTTTTAAAATGAATCCCGATGGTCCACCGATGTATCATGTCATTGTCGCTGACAAATGTAGCACTAATTTGCCAAGCACGGAAAGATGGAAAGTTGGTAACCTGTGGTACCGGATCAAGACAACGAGCACGTGTATATCACAGCGTATCTCTGAATGTTGTGCTACACGCGTCCTTATTGTGCAGTGCAAATGCAAATGCTAACATCCACATTCAACAGTGCACCACCATCACAAAAGCAGTGCTTAAATGTTGATAATTACAGGCATGGAACTGTGATCTGGAAAGATTAGCTCAGCAAGCTGTAGACAACTGTCCTCCAAACCCACCGCCAATAAGGCCCGCAAACGGGAGGAATTATGTTCTGTAAGTTAAGAATAATACTACTTTCACTAAAATTACCAAAATCACGAAGCTATTCCATCGTTACAAGCGTCATTTGAATTTTAATGACTTAGATACGGAGCGGGTTCCTCCGCAATCGAACGACAATTACCCCTTCGAGCTGCACTACTGCAGTGGTCAGACATTTCGAACGTGATATGGCCAGCTAACAATGTTTTCGATGGCAATGCAGCATTGCTTCCATTTGCTAACGTAGGTAAAATTAGTAATATCCTTAAAAACGTGAATTAGTAGTTTTTTCTCAGATGATTCGTGCGAGGACACTTTCTGTTGGATGCTCTAGTGCCACGTGTGTGGGTAGTTCGGCCACGGCTTGCGTCTTCTCGGCACCGTGAGTAGCACAGAGCAAAACATTAGCACTCTCACACCTAGAGAAGCATTTTTAATGCTCCTTCAGCAATGTGCGAAGAGGAGCCCGAGTCTACAATTCTGGAATGCCATGCCAAAACGACCAACAGTGCACTAGATTCAATCCTGCTTTCTGTGAAAATGGGCTATGTGTTAGCGATATGAGACCAGTGCCAACGACAACTAGAAGGCCGAGTACTGAATGCCCAAGTACTGCATTCAGTTCCACCTTCAGAGAAGTCGCGCTGGGAATGCATAATAATTTCAGGTAATATGCATGTCAAAAAATGGTATGTACCAAATACATTATATATATATATATATATATATATATATATATATATAATTTCAACTTATTACTTACTGCCTACTCTTTTTAACGGCAGGGTATTCATTGTGAAATATAACTTCAACGATGTTGAGATATTTGCAAAACTCCGCACCGCAGGTGTATGCTGTGGGGAACGAACACGCGCTGTTGTCCTTACCGGGGAGCAGCGCACTTCACCACCACACCATCAATCCCGTTGACGGGTGATTGCTGATGGCAAGAGATCGATAGAACTAGCTGAGAAACAGGCAAAACGAAGGACCCGGATGGTGTGGTGGTGAAGTGCGCTGCTCCCCGGTAAGGACAACAGCGTGTGTTCGTTCCCCACCGCATACAACTGCGGTCCGGAGTTTTGCAAATATCTCAGCATCGTTGAAGTTACATATATATATGTATATATATATTTATTAATGCACAGAAGTTTCGCCTTCTTCGGAGTCTGACAGGCTCAAATTTACACGGGGCGTTCGCTCCCTCAAACACTATCACAACCTCTTGGGGAAAACAATGAATAAATGATGAATAGCACTATGAAGAACTTATTTTAAACACTTGCCGTTTTGCTGTTTTTAAGTCTTAGGTGTAAGCACATATTTATAACACCTAGGTATAAGTATACGTGGGTTTTTTCTGCGTCAGCAGGCGTTTCGCTTTCCAACTCAAACGCAGGATCCGTACGTGCGAGAACATTTTGCATAAATGCAGAACTTGTCTACCACTGTCTACCAAATGTCTACCACTTTCTTTGAAATCGAAAGGAGTAATGCACTTCTGCAAAAAAGCCGCTCTTGTTCAGATCGCTCGTCGCAAGAGGACTTGGTAGAAACGGCGAATATGCAAATGAGAACGCTCCACCTGCTTCAAGAATGGACCTGATGGTAGAATATTGCATTTATTTAACTGGAGCATCTTCTTCATGATTTCTTATGCCGTCCAAGGTATTTTAGGGGTATGACTGCCAAGCAGAACAGTTAGCGTTGAATCACGTGAGATTGTGCGGCAGGCAACCGTCATCTCCCTCTGCTCGACCCGGTTACAGCGAAAATATTCATATCCTCGAAACTACTGCTACAGATTTGCTGGGAGCAATTCAGAATGTGAGTCAGGAAAGTTCGTCTTTAAGCAGTCACTAGTATGGCAGTCAGGAATTAAAGTGTAAACTTGAATAGTTTTGTAAATGGAGGTATTTTAAAGAGATTCAACACCTTGTCAATTTTATATCATTTATTCCTTACGTTTCATTCTTACCACTGCAGGCAATTGGAACGTTCACCAATGAACTCGGAGGAAATGGCATTCCTTCGAATATGTTATTAACGCCGGATGTTCTTCAGCGCACGCAAAGAGCGGTGGCAAGGGTTAGCAAGGTTTGTGCTATTTCTTCAGCGACTATAATCGTAGGCGTCCGCAAGCCCTTATAGCACAGAGTTATTCCAGGTTCTTTGGGGTAGTAACAGGCATGTAGGTTGTGCAACTCAACTTTGCAATGGATTTTACTTCACTTCTTGCATGTACCGAGATCCGTAAGTTTTTCTATGCCTAAACCCTCCATTTCCTTAACGTTTTGCAGATGTTTCGCCTTGCTTCAGAGTGAACGTCGTCGGAGCTAGCATCTACCCTATTGGTGCAGTATGCAGCGCTTGTCCAACAGGTTCAAACAATTGCGATGGAGCTGTTGGTCTCTGTTCCTACTAAAAGAGATAAGAGTAATTTGAGAGGTGGTCATAAATGAATAGCATGCAATACGAGTGCCTCCATTTTCTGGAACGCGGAAAACGAGCTAGTTTTTGTTCTTTTACTCCAAGTGCCTACTTTTTTGTTCTATAAAATTTATGATTAACAGAGGGAATAGAGTTGTTGAATAAAAATTTGATTTCGTCAGTTTTACACACACCTTGTTTACCACCATCGTGGAAAACACTAGTGGAAAAAAAACAACTACTCAGACGAATGAGGGATGGTTAATATAAAGATTAAAGATGTCAAAGCTAAAACTCCCGAAGTCTCTCAACCCTTTCACAACCGTGCCGCATTGAATTCAATATTTGGATTACTGCATGTTTTGGAACGTAGAACTGGACTTTAATTTGCTTCTTTTTCTTTCTGCCCTATTTTAGCTACACAGGAGATTTTGTCGAATCTGTGGTAGCTGGCCGATATCTAGTCGAAACAGATTTTGTATTGGAGCAGGTTTATGCATAGGTATTTTCATTGAGCTGTGTTAGCGAAATGCATACTGCGCTATTCTTTATATTCTTGTTTAGCAAACACGAGGTGTTATCTTATTTCTTTATTTACGCAGAAGCTGAAGCTTCGGCGGATTTCGCTTTCCTCAGAGTCTGGAAAAGTCAAGTTGACTGCACTCTACACAGCCAAACACCTCCATAACCAAACAGAGAAAATGCTCAACCAAAATTCCAATCACATTGAACACAGAAAAGCTTCTTTGCACACTCACCACTTTCTATGAGTCTTCCACTGAATATGTCACTAGAACACCAACCGCACAGAGTTCACATGGAAGCGTAGTTTACCCCTCACATCAGAATAACAGGTTTAAATACTACCCGGTATCACGGGTGATTATGAGGCATTCCTCTCTACAGTTTATTTTCGTATTTTAACTTATTATTCACTGCCTACACTGCAGGGTATTTATTCCGAAATATAACTTTAATTTTAACTCCAAGAATCCGAAAATGGACCACAGGGAGAATTGCCTCATTATGGTGGTATTGGGCAGTATATAAGCCTGTTACTTTGATGAGATGGGCACAATACGATTCGGTGTGAACTCTGTGCGGTTGGCCTCCTAGTGACATATTCAGTGGAAGACTCATAGAAAGTGGTGAGTGTGCAAAGAAGCTTTACTGTGTTAAATGTGATTGGAATTTTGGTTCAGCATTTTCTCTGTTTGGTTATGGAGGTATTTGGTCGGGTAAATTGCAGTCAACCTGACCTTTCCAAGCTCTGAGGAAGGCGAAATCCGCCGAAACGTCAGCTTGTACGTTAATAAAGAAATAAAGTAACACCTCGTGTTTACTGAACAAAGGTCGAAAGAACTATTCAATCAGTGTCGAGGTTAACAGAAGGTCGGACTTAGGAGTTACTTTAATTTTGATTTTATTTTTAAATTTAAATTTAGCTGCAGCCTCAACTTAACTGGGTTCGCTGCCGATTTGAGCTCACCAGATCAATCCTGCTGATGGGTGATTGCTGATGGCAAAAGACCAATAGAACTAGCTGAGAGGCACGCGAAACGAAGGACCCGCATAGTGTGGTGGTGAACGCGTTACTCTCCGGAAAGGACAATAGCACGTCCGTTTCTTACCACGGACACCTGCGGTCCGGAGTTTTGCAAAATATCTCAGCATCATTAAAGTTACATTTTCGGATTCTTGGAATTATTCCAGAATGCTTCGAGAGTTTTGCGCGCTTGTGTTCTTGATTCCTGCGCTAGGATCGTAACCCTTACTTCAAAATCTTCCCCGTTATGTCTCTGCGTCCTCTGCGTGTCTAGTGCGGTATTTGGTTTAAGTTTACAGACTAGGTGTTCTTTTATACTGATGCGTAGTGGTCTACCCGTCACGCCAATGTATTCGTTCCATCACGCTTTACAAAAACCAGATAAACTATAGCCGAACTCATGCAGTCACCTTATCTACCATTAGGGCAAATTATGCAATTTTGCGTAGCATATACACCGTCACACAGGCGGCTACAAACCAGCTGGCGTCTTAGAGTCCTCGGTGGTATTCCAATTGTGGTTGCCGAATTCTCTAGACCACTCCTTCTTAAGAAGCGTTTTATAGCTGCACATACTTCATTTGAAATGAAGGTCAAGATAAATGGGACCAGAGCCGCCGCTTTGGGGCTTGGAGTTTCTTCCACGTCTATCACAAGCGACGGTTTCGTAGCCATTAGAAATGGCTCTTTGCTTCGCCAATTTCTGGGACTCCTCGCTCTGCTCTCATCCTGTGCACTCGCTGGTTGCTGTTCGAAACATGTTTCTTTGTCTTGTGGTGAGCAGATAACAAAACAGTAATCTATATATCTAGAGTAGAGTGACGGATCAGATCAGTTTACTTTAGATGGGACAAGGGCATATACCAGATTAAATGGGATTGGATCATAGATCAAACCACACACCATATCAGCTCGCAGACCAAATCAGAATAGATGATAGGCCAGATTGGATCAAGTCACCTAAGATTATGTCGCATTAGATGGGACGGTAGATCATGTCGAATCAGATCAGATCCGTCCACGAGGGACGAAGGCATAGTCCAGATTAAATTGACTTAAATCATAGACTAGAATACGGGTCTCATCAAGCCCTAGATCAGGGCAGAATTGATTAGAAAGCAGATCAGATTAAACCAAGTCACCTAAGATTACGTTGAATTAGATAGGACCGCAGATCATGTCGAATCACATCAGATCAGTTAAGATGACACCAGAGTATAAGCCAGATCAAATCGGCTTGAGTCGTAAATCAAACCATAAATCATGAAGGATTGTAAATCAGATCAGAATTGATTAGATAATAGGCCGAATTGGATGAACTCATCCAAGATTGCGTGGCATTAGATAGGCCCGTAGATAATAATGTTGGATCAGATCGGAACAGTTCAGATGGGACAACGGAATACTCCAGATTGAATTGGCTTAAATCATAGACCAAACCGCCGACCATATCAAACCATAGATTAGATAAGAATTGATTAGATAATAGGTAGGATCATAACAAGTCACCTAGGATTAGGGGGCATTACATGGGACCGTAGATCATGTCGGAGGAGATCAGACCACTTCAGATTGCAGCATACCTCAGATCGAATCGGCTTGAATCATAGGTTAAACCTTGTATGATATCAGATCGTGGATCAGAGCAGAATTGACTAGATAGTTTGTCGGGTTGGACCAATTCGCCTAAGATTAGGTGGCATTAGATGGGAATGTAGATCATGATGGATCAGATTAGACCAGTTTAGATGGGAGAAGGGTATACTCCAGATCCAATTGGCTTGGATCATAGATTAAACTGCGTATGATATCACATCTTAGATCGGATCAGAATTGATCGCCAAAAACGTCAAATGTGCCTCAGAACAGTAGAGATAACCGTTTTACCAGCGAAACACGCGAGAAACGTGAAATGTCTCCCAAACCGTCGAATTAACCGTTCCCTGAGCGGATTTCACGACAAACTTCAAATGTATCTCAAAATCGTGTGTTCGTTTCTCGTGTCTCAGAAGAGAACGAGACTTAACCTTAGCCTAAGCCTAAGCCTGTCTGAGAAGAAAATCACTCGTTGTAATCTAATTGTGAACGCCTCAACCTGGCTATCTCAGCACTCCAGGGAGAACTGTTCGACCAACATTCTACGACATTCAAGATGAGATGAAAATCCTCAAGTAGTAACCGAAGCCATACGTAAAGCTGGAAGATCTTCATGGATGATGGATGCGAGGAAACGAGCTGAATGTGAGAAGTGATGGGATCCACACAGTAGACGTGGAGATGCATCAAATAAAAATGAAAAAGAAATTAACACTTTACACCAAGAAGAACTGATTAGTGCTCTAGACTGCCTTTAATCAGCCTTCACGATCATCTTTCACACCGTGATGTTCCCACCTTAGATCGCATGAGAAACGCTGAAGCATAAAAAAAGGCTTCTCTGTAATCGCACTCGAATATCGATGAGATAACAGCTCTAGATCACTCCACCATTACTAGTCGCCTTTGATTGATGCGACAATTGCTGACACTTTGACTGAAGCAGTTATCAACGTAGAGATTCCGTATGCGTGGCGAAAACATGATATTTCCTCACCAACGTTTCATTGCAGTTTAGGAAGAATGTAATAAGGTTTTCAGAAACTAATATAGGACTCATAATTTCATTAATCTTGTTTATATTTTGGAAGCATCTTTGAATTTCTTCTAAGTGCACATCATGACGCCAAATCTGTGAAAGCTTAGGGAAACAAGGAATGAAAGTTTAGCTCGCCTAGAATTTTCACCTGGCATCTTGCTAGGCGATTATTCCTTCTTCGAGTTCCACAACTAGGAGCAATAGGAAGTCTTCAGTGAGCAAGCCTCTGTCGAAAATCTCTTCAGAAATCTCAAGGGCTGAACAAATTACAGTTTTGCCACAATAAATTCAACTCGCATATACCACGTTTCAAAAGTCAAGATTTCATCCTATCTACCATGTTTAGTAAGGTCTACTATAAGCTCAGATACGTCGATTTGAATGCTAGAAATTGGAACGTTATTAGAAGAATCTTAACCTTTTTATTTGCTACCTATTCTTTTTAACGGCAAAGTATGTTGCGAAATATAACTTTTGTAATGTTGAGATATTTGCAAAACTCCCGACAGCAGGTGTCTGCGATGGGGAACGAACGCGCTATTGTCCTTTCTGGGGACTAACGCGTTCACCACCAAACCATGCGGGTTCTTCGTTTCGCCTGTCTCTCAACTAGCTCTATCGATCTTTTGCCATCAGCAATCACGCGTCAACGGGATTGATCTGGGGAGCCCAAATCGGCATTGAACCCAGTCAAGCTGAGGCTATAGTTATAATCACAATCTTAACCTTAATAATCTTAATATAACTATTATAATGCTAAGATATTTGCAAAACTTCGCAAAATACCTTGCCGTCAAAAAAGAATAGCCAGTAAATAGAATGGTTAAGAAGTGGAAATAGTCAATAAGCTTCTAGAACACGATCTTTTTAGCAATACGCATTGAGATCAGTTCGGAACCACTATCATTTCTTCACAGCACCATTTACGTTCGCAAGAGAAAATATTCACCGATCGACTGTAATCATCGTGACAATCTTCGCTGTCAGTGGTATAGTCGATCAATTCACTTTTCCGATCAGGAGACTGTTCGAGCGCACTACTTCATAACGATGTTTTCCCGAACCACCACGCGACTCTACTCAAAGGCCAGCAACAGTTTTCGAGCTCTACTCAACAACGAACTCGACTCCATTAAGGTAAATATGCCAGAACTTTGACGCCGCCGTGTTGTTCAGCTATAAACGCGCCAACAATCGGTACTACAAGACATAATCCTAGTCATCAAACAAAATTTTCCCTGATGGACTTAACTGGGATCATTTCCCTATTTCTAGTGCAAATAATATGGCACGTCAAGAAGGCTCCCTCTGTTTTATTCATCAGCTCTCCTTCTTTGGTCCGATCTTCTAACCTAGTAGAGGGTTCACAAAAACGGTTTTGCGATGTCTCTACTTAGGTGCGAATTGTAAAACATCTGTACTCGACATTAAGAAGAACAAGATCATTTTAGAGGTTGCAACTTTTCAGTGACATAAATACCAACACCCATTGCATTCGATTAAAAAAACTTTGTAGATAAGATTTGTTCGTTTAAGCAGATGTATTAGTTAGCATTATAACTTTAGCGAAAGAATCTGGCAAATGAGAAATGCCCTCTTCGAATTAAAGTCACACGATGCCACAGTACAGTGGACAGTGGTGCTCTCCGCTCCTTCGCAATGATATGGTCGTCTTGGAATCGACTACATTCCAATGTTAATTGTTTTCTAGTTTATTGATTTGAAAACGACTTTCCGAGCACAGATATCACTTTATAAAAACTGCGTATGCAGTTGATGAGAAGAGTGAATCTCTTTTATAACTCTTTCAAGTTCTTAAAATATACATGAATGGTGATGAAAGTCAGGTTATCAAGTCGAAGTCGACTATCGGACTCGAAAAGTTATCAAAAGGTGGCAACAACCAGCTCCTTTGTGGATGGGCTTTTCGTTAGCTTCTTCTTAATAGTACAAAACATTAAACATCCACACAAATATTTAAAAGCAAAGGGAAAAGGGAATGCCGACATTTTCTTTCGTTTCATTGTTGCACCCTTTTAAAGTCTTCAGTAATCATAATTAAGGCGGACGGCACATACAAAAATGAACGAGTAATCACAGGACCACAAGGTGTTTTAGTCCAAGTAAAAGGTCGAACTGAACCCGTGCTCAACTTTTGCGCCAACAACTACCTCGGTCTCAGCAGCCATCCAGACGTAGGTGTTTTTGGAACTTTGCAAAACACTTTAACCACTGTTGGCTTTTTTCTATTTCTTATTTTTGTTGAAACTTCGAACCAATTGATATAATTTCATGTATATTTGTCTTTACAATCTTTTTTCTTTCAAGACCTTTAAAACCAGACAAGCAGTGCCGTTTGTGTTGACACCTTACA